GTTGGATGGGGTTTGTGATGGTTTGGTGGGGTTTGCAGGGGTTGGGTGGGGTTTGTGATGGTTTGGTGGGGTTTGCAGGGGTTGGATGAGGTTTGTGATGGTTTGGTGGGGTTTGCAGGGGTTGGATGGGGTTTGTGATGTTTGGTGGGGTTTGCAGGGGTTGGATGGGGTTTGTGATGGTTTGGTGGGGTTTGCAGGGGTTGGATGGGGTTTGTGATGGTTTGGTGGGGTTTGCAGGGGTTGGGTGGGGTTTGTGATGGTTTGGTGGGGTTTGCAGGGGTTGGATGAGGTTTGTGATGGTTTGGTGGGGTTTGCAGGGGTTGGATGGGGTTTGTGATGGTTTGGTGGGGTTTGCAGGGGTTGGGTGGGGTTTGTGATGGTTTGGTGGGGTTTGTGATGTTTGGTGGGGTTTGCAGGGGTTGGATGGGGTTTGTGATGGTTTGGTGGGGTTTGCAGGGGTTGGATGGGGTTTGCAGGGGTTGGGTGGGGTTTGTGATGGTTTGGTGGGGTTTCCGATGGTTTGGTGGGGTTTGCAGGGGTTGGGTGGGGTTTGTGATGGTTTGGTGGGGTTTGTGATGTTTGGTGGGGTTTGCAGGGGTTGGATGGGGTTTGCAGGGGTTGGGTGGGGTTTGTGATGGTTTGGTGGGGTTTGCAGGGGTTGGATGGGGTTTGTGATGGTTTGGTGGGGTTTGCAGGGGTTGGATGGGGTTTGCAGGGGTTGGATGGGGTTTGTGATGGTTTGGTGGGGTTTGCAGGGGTTGGATGGGGTTTGTGATGGTTTGGTGGGGTTTGCAGGGGTTGGGTGGGGTTTGTGATGGTTTGGTGGGGTTTGTGATGTTTGGTGGGGTTTGCAGGGGTTGGATGGGGTTTGTGATGGTTTGGTGGGGTTTGCAGGGGTTGGATGGGGTTTGTGATGGTTTGGTGGGGTTTGCAGGGGTTGGGTGGGGTTTGTGATGGTTTGGTGGGGTTTGCAGGGGTTGGATGGGGTTTGTGATGGTTTGGTGGGGTTTGCCATTGCTGCTGTTTGCAATGGTTTGGAGGGCTTTGCAGGGGTTGGGTGGGGTTTGGTGGGGTTTGCGATGGTTTGGTGGGGTTTGCAGGGGTTTGGTGGGGTTTGCGATGGTTTGGTGGGGTTTATAGGAGTTTGGTGGGGTTTGCGATGGTTTGGTGGGGTTTGCAGGAGTTTGGTGGGGTTTGCAGGGGTTTGGTGGGGTTTGCAATGGTTTGGTGGGGTTTGGTGGGATTTGGTGGGTTTGCAATGGTTTGGTGGGGTTTGCAGAAGTTAGGTGTGGGTTGCAATGGTTCGGTGGGGTTCACAGGGTTTCTGAACTGTGTATGTGTCTGTAGGCTGTTCAGGTGGTATCAGGGTGGTCTTAATTTAATGTAAACACAGTGAGACTCACTTGCGGTGGAGAAAATCTCCTGCAGCCATGGCGACCGGTCGGTGTGCGGAATACACCAGGTGATACACATTCTCACAGTCATCGCCGGACAGAGCGTCCTCACTGCCTCTGCAGACACAAACACACTCCACTGTTCCACAGATGACCGTCAGGTCAGTGTTTGTTTATACAGTACATGTGAGCAGTGAGTGATGATGAGTTTAGTCTAAATGAGTTTTTCACACAAACATTACAAATATTTAATTAATTTTAAATTAACTTTTAGTAAATTCCATTTTAAGAAACCAAATTCTCCTTAATGCAACAGTAATGTATGAAGTATATACATTTATAATGTATAATGTATATACATTTTTTACTTGTCTTTTATAATCCGTACACTGTTCCTGAACTGAGTACTTTAAAGCTAATTATTATTATTTCACAAAAGCCAATATTTTGTGCTTTGTGGTCTCTCATTGCCTCAACATTTTACTTCCTCAGAAAGTAAAGAGATTCGACAGTTAAACCTATCATACATGTATTCTTCAATTTAAAAAGAAAATAAGAGTTCTTTCAATTAGAAAGTCAACATGATATTTGATCATTGACTCCCAAACTTCACATATGACTGTAAATAAATATCAGTAATAGGGAAATAAATATTCTAGCACAGTGTGGTGATGAAAAAAGTCTAAAATGATGATTATCACACCTAAAACTCTACTGTGAGAATGACAAATGTGTCTAAGAGATATTTTAATAAAACATTTTAAAATTACTTCTGCAGTTTTGTCCTGAAGTAGATAAAAACAAATACACTCACACACACTCACTGTACTGTTACTCACTGCAGAATTAAGGTGATTAATCTGATGGCCTCAACTGCCACGTCATATTCTTTATCCAGAGTCATAGACACTATCCGATCCTGCAGGAGAAATCACAGCTCAGTCAAGGTTATATCACAATACCTACATTTAGAGTCGGTTATTCATTCAGCCTAATGAGAAACTGTAGAACAGACTCAGTTTATATCACAAAAGCTACATTTAGAGTCAGTTATTCATTCAGCCTAATGAGAAACTGTAGAACAGACTCAGTTTATATCACAATAGCTACATTTAGAGTCAGTTATTCATTCAACCTAATGAGACACTGTAGAACAGACTCAGTTTATATCACAATACCTACATTTAGAGTCAGTTATTCATTCAACCTAATGAGAAACTGTAGAACAGACTCAGTTTATATCACAATACCTACATTTAGAGTCGGTTATTCATTCAACCTAATGAGAAACTGTAGAACAGACTCAGTTTATATCACAATACCTACATTTAGAGTCGGTTATTCATTCAGCCTAATGAGAAACTGTAGAACAGACTCAGTTTATATCACAATACCTACATTTAGAGTCGGTTATTCATTCAGCCTAATGAGAAACTGTAGAACAGACTCAGTTTATATCACAATAGCTACATTTAGAGTCAGTTATTCATTCAGCCTAATGAGAAACTGTAGAACAGACTCAGTTTATATCACAATACCTACATTTAGAGTCAGTTATTCATTCAGCCTAATGAGAAACTGTAGAACAGACTCAGTTTATATCACAATACCTACATTTAGAGTCAGTTATTCATTCAACCTAATGAGAAACTGTAGAACAGACTCAGTTTATATCACAATACCTACATTTAGAGTCAGTTATTCATTCAGCCTAATGAGAAACTGTAGAACAGACTCAGTTTATATCACAATACCTACATTTAGAGTCAGTTATTCATTCAGCCTAATGAGAAACTGTAGAACAGACTCGGTTTATATCACAATACCTACATTTAGAGTCAGTTATTCATTCAGCCTAATGAGAAACTGTAGAACAGACTCAGTTTATATCACAATACCTACATTTAGAGTCAGTTATTCATTCAGTCTAATGAGAAACTGTAGAACAGACTCAGTTTATATCACAATACCTACATTTAGAGTCAGTTATTCATTCAGTCTAATGAGAAACTGTAGAACAGACTCAGTTTATATCACAATACCTACATTTAGAGTCGGTTATTCATTCAACCTAATGAGTAGAACAGACTCAGTTTATATCACAGTACCTACATTTAGAGTCGGTTATTCATTCAACCTAATGAGTAGAACAGACTCAGTTTATATCACAGTACCTACATTTAGAGTCGGTTATTCATTCAGCCTAATGAGAAACTGTAGAACAGACTCAGTTTATATCACAATACATACATTTAGAGTCGGTTATTCATTCAGCCTAATGAGAAACTGTAGAACAGACTCAGTTTATATCACAGTACCTACATTTAGAGTCGGTTATTCATTCAGCCTAATGAGAAACTGTAGAACAGACTCAGTTTATATCACAATACATACATTTAGAGTCAGTTATTCATTCAGCCTAATGAGAAACTGTAGAACAGACTCGGTTTATATCACAATACCTACATTTAGAGTCAGTTATTCATTCAGCCTAATGAGACACTGTAGAACAGACTCAGTTTATATCACAGTACCTACATTTAGAGTCGGTTATTCATTCAGCCTAATGAGAAACTGTAGAACAGACTCGGTTTATATCACAATACCTACATTTAGAGTCAGTTATTCATTCAGCCTAATGAGAAACTGTAGAACAGACTCAGTTTATATCACAGTACCTACATTTAGAGTCGGTTATTCATTCAGCCTAATGAGAAACTGTAGAACAGACTCGGTTTATATCACAATACCTACATTTAGAGTCAGTTATTCATTCAGCCTAATGAGAAACTGTAGAACAGACTCAGTTTATATCACAATACCTACATTTAGAGTCAGTTATTCATTCAGCCTAATGAGAAACTGTAGAACAGACTCAGTTTATATCACAATACCTACATTTAGAGTCGGTTATTCATTCAGCCTAATGAGACACTGTAGAACAGACTCAGTTATATCAGTTTTATTCTTTACCTTGAAGCGGTTTGTGAACAGCTCCAGTTTCTGGAAGAGCTCTCGGTGTGAGTAGAGATTCTGTAAGGCCTTTAGGCACTTCAGCCGAACCTCCCCTTGCTGTGATGAGGACAGGTAAGAATCACTCACCTGAGAGAAACACCGAGTGAGGACGGCGTGCAGTGAAGTGGTCTGCAGGGACATTACCCGGTCGTGTAAAGTCCACCCTACATACTTTAGGTAACTGTCGTTCAGGAAGGCGTCGCTGTACATTTTCATCCACACTCCGATCTCCTCTATGCAGATGGCTCTGATCTCAGCTATCGCATCCCTGCAGATAAAGGCAGTCAGGGCTGTACTGTCACCATGGAAACAGCATTACTCGTAATGAGACTTTGTAAAGCAGAGTAACCTGTAACGGTGAACGAAGATTCCCTTGAAGATCGAGTTCATCATGTTTTCAATCTCATCTTGGTTTTCCTGGAGCTGAGAACAAAAATAGGTTACAGTGTAATCTGTTACAGTGAGGTCTGTTACAGTATGGTCTGTTACAGTGTAATCTGTTACTGTATGGTCTGTTACAGTATGGTCTGTTACAGTGTAATCTGTTACTGTATGGTCTGTTACAGTGTAATCTGTTACTGTATGGTCTGTTACAGTGTAATCTGTTACAGTATGTTCTGTTACTGTATGGTCTGTTACAGTGTAATCTGTTACTGTATGGTCTGTTACAGTGTAATCTGTTACTGTATGGTCTGTTACAGTGTAATCTGTTACTGTATGGTCTGTTACAGTGTAATCTGTTACAGTGTAATCTATTACTGTATGGTCTGTTACAGTGTAATCTGTTACAGTATGTTCTGTTACAGTGTAATCTGTTACAGTATGGTCTGTTACACTGTAATCTCTTACAGTATAATCTTTCATCAAATGATTTTACGCTATAACGTTACAACATAATTACTACATCTGTCATGCTAACATAATTTGTTACAGTATGATTTGTTATGGTATGATGCACTACACTGTGATGTTATAATTAGTATTTACAGTGTAATCTGTTACAGTATGATGTGTGTAGTCTCAGTGTACCTCCTTCCTCTTCTGCAGAAGCAGTTCCAGTTTCTCGTTGGCTCTCTTGCCGATCATTTTGTTGCGTTCGGACTCGTACTGTCTCTGTGTGTTGTCCTGGTGGATGCTGAGGTTCAGCGCCACGTTCACCAGAGCCGTCATCAGCTTCATCGCTGAGAAGAGGAAGCACAGGAATTTCAGATGACAGTCCAGTTTAGTCCCATCCATCCAGTACAGTCCAGTCACTGCAGGCCAGTGCACTCAGTTCAATCCACTTAGTCCAGCGTAGTCTTGTCTAGTCCAGTCTAGTCACCCAATCCAGCATAGTCCGGTCAATTCCTGTCCAGTCAAGCTCAGGCCAGTCCAGTCCAGTGCAGTTGCCCAGACAAGTCTAGTGTAATGCATTAACCCATTCCAGCACGGTCCACTCCAGTCCAGTCGCCCAGACTAGCACAGTGCGGTTCAGTCCATTCCAATCCACAGTCCAGTCTAAGCCAGTCAAACTTAGTCCAATCCATTCGCCCAGTTCAGTCCAATCCAGTCAACTAGTCCAGTCCAGTTAAATCAGTCCAGACCAGTTAACAAGTCGAATCCATTCACCCAGTCCAGGTCAATGTTTACCTGCGAGTGTACTGGTGTGCCTGAACGCTCGGACCTGTGAGTCACTCAGGCCGGTCAGCAGGGAGATGACTGTGTCCATCATGTACTCGTCATAGATGATGCTGTACTGGCACTGCCGGATCAGAACCGTGATGAACTCACAGTAACTGTAGCGGAATTTCTTCCATAGCGGACCAGAGACGGTCAGTGGGTAATCACCGCTGTCCTGCACAAACAGGGAGGTGTCAGCAATCAAATACCCAAATCCACAAACATCTACATCAAATACTGATCATCACCGACATTAAAAAACCTTTATATACGATTCCAAAGCTTTCGTATTAGGAATATTAGGGTTATTATTATTTTCATGAATTAAAAGCCTTTTATCTCCTCTCAACATTCTGCCGGAAATCAGTCTACTCTGAACGCTGACTGTGATGACTGGGTCAGATTAGACGTTCTTCTGTTCTCCTATATAAAGCTTGGAGAGGTTTTGATATGAAGAGCTGAATGAATACCTCATCAAACTCCTCCGTCATTTTGCGGATGATCTCTGCGTTCTGCATGTTGCGAAACATCTCGATTCTCACAGCACCTTCAGAGGAACGACAGAAAGGTGTAAAACTTCATCACAGCTCAGGCAGCAGTACAGTCAGCCTGACCTCTACCAGGAGAACTCCACCATTCACCTTTGCAGCCGGAGCAGTGGATGAAGAAGTTGATGAGGTCCAGCAGGGCCAGATCTCTGTCCTGTTTATAGGACTCGATCCAGTCATCCACCACCGACTGAAGGAGACAGACAGAGCTAAAACTGATATAAAGGCTGAAACGAAACCTTCAGTTACTTTACCAATAGGCCAGAAACACAACTGCGCAAAATCAATTTCCATGTCTAGTTGTGTTTTAAAATATGTCATCAATGCTATTCATAACAATAAACAATGGCAGTTCTACATTCTGAGCATTTCAGCTAGGTGGCGCTACAGTGAAACAGGAATCGGGGGCACTGAGGAGGCTGCAGCAGCTCCAGAATTCAGGATTGTTTAACTGCAACAGGTAAGAGCATGCATTTAACATGTGACCTCTGACCCCTGTGTTGTACCTGCATGGCACTCTTGCCCTGTTTAACCATCTCAAACAGAGTGACTGTGTTTTCCCCTCCGTTCTGCTGAAATCCGTTCACTCTCCGGCTCTGTGGCGCCCCCACCTGGCTCTTCTCCTGACGCGCCTTCTTATTAGGAGCCTGAGATCAAACCAAAACAAACAAACAGGGTCACTGCACCAACAGAGCAGAACCTAAACCAATACAAACAGCGTCACTGCACCAACAGAACAGAACCTAAACCAATACAAACAGCGTCACTGCACCAACAGACAGAACCAAAGCTAAACCAAAACAAGCACAGTCACTGCACCAACAGAACAGAACCTAAACCAAGACAAACAGGGTCACTGCACCAACAGAACCAAAACTAAACCAACACAAACAGGGTCACTGCACCAACAGAACAGAACCTAAACCAAGACAAACAGCATCACTGCACCAACAGAATTGAAACTAAACCAAGACAAACAGGGTCACTGCACCAACAGAACAGAACCTTAACCAAGACAAACAGGGTCACTGCACCAAAAGAACAGAACCTAAACCAAGACAAACAGCGTCACTGCACCAACAGAACACAACTTAAACCAAGACAAACAGGGTCACTGCACCAACAGAACAGAACCTAAACCAAGACAAAAAGGGTCACTGCACCAAAAGAATAGAACTGCACTGATAGAACTCAAACAGGCTCACTGCATTGACAGAATAGAGCTCAAACAGGGTCACTGCACTGACAGAACAGAACTCAAACAGGCTCACTGCATTGACAGAATAGAGCTCAAACAGGGTCACTGCACTGACAGAACAGAACTCAAACAGGGTCACTGCACTGACTTAACAGAAATCATCAAAACAGCACAGTCACTGCACGACAGAACAGAACTAATCACAAACAGGGTCACTGCACTGACAGAACAGAAATCAAACAGGGTCACTGCACTGACAGAACAGAACTCAAACAGGGTCACTGCACCAACAGAACACAACTTAAACCAAGACAAACAGGGTCACTGCACCAACAGAACTGAACCTAAACCAAGACAAACAGCGTCACTGCACCAACAGAACATAACTTAAACCAAGACAAACAGGGTCATTGCACCAACAGAACAGAACCTAAACCAAGACAAACAGGGTCACTGCACCAACAGAACCAAAGCTAAACCAAAACAAGCACAGTCACTGCACCAACAGAACAGAAACTAAACCAAGACAAACAGCATCACTGCACCAACAGAACTGAACCTTAACCAAGACAAACAGGGTCACTGCACCAACAGAACTGAAACTAAACCAAGACAAGCACAGTCACTGCACCAACAGAACAGAACCTAAACCAAGACAAAAAGGGTCACTGCACCAAAAGAATAAACTGCACTGATAGAACTCAAACAGGCTCACTGCATTGACAGAATAGAGCTCAAACAGGGTCACTGCACTGACAGAACAGAAATCAAACAGGGTCACTGCACTGACTTAACAGAACTCAAACAGGGTCACTGCACTGACAGAACAGAACTCAAACAGGGTCACTGCACTGACAGAATAGAACTGCACTGACAGAACAGAACTCAAACAGGGTCACTGCACTGACAGAATAGAACTGCACTGACAGAACAGAACTCAAACAGGGTCACTGCACTGACAAAGCATTTTTAAATTAAAGCAGGAAAAGCTGTAACCAGTGTTTAGCATACCAGTGGCCTGCTGGGCTTTGCTCTCTTCTTCCTCGTCCTGTCGTCCTGGTCCAGTTCACTCAGACTCAGACTGACCGCCTCTGCCTGGCCGGACTCGCCGCAGGACTCTCTGAGGGACAGCGAGACTTAATATGCATTTCTCAGCATCGCCCCCTGCTGTCTGTGTTCTAAACGCAGGTTAATAATGAACTGAAGGTGATGAACATTACAGGCGTCCCACCACATATTCACTTATATCTGACACTATATTAATGCTGTAAATTAGTAACTGACTGTAAAGTCAATAAAAGTCCAGCTTAAGTTTTTTTTTATCAAAATTCCTCAAAATGTTTTGAACAGAACCAGCAGATGGCGCAGTTCTGCACTTTTCCCTCCACACACTCGTTAACAACACACTGTAAACAGGCCCTCCTTCAAAACACCAGCAATTTAAAATATATGAAATAAAGACTTTACAGAAACGTTACTCTGACAGCATCACCTCAAACAGCTGCTGCCTGAACTACAACTGTTCAGACCATTATTAAGATGCATGTCTGAATAGAAGATACAGATAAAAATAGTATTTCACATCCTGACAATGAATATTTCACTTAACACTCTACATATTAACGTTAATCAATAAAGATCATAAATAATTGGTAAGAAATTTTTATTCAATAATAACTTACAGAGTATAGATTGAGATCCAAAATGCTATATTGAATAGACATTTTTTTGAAAAATAAAGAAGTTAAATTACAAAAAATGGTCGTAATTATTTATTTAAAATAATTCCTTGATGCATCATCTGTCTCGAAACTTGATCATCACCTTTAAAACACAAAACATTCTACATATTAACTTCATTCAGGATGTTAATTTTACAAGAATTTAATTCTGAATATTATTACATTATCCAGAACAAGAGGTTCCTCACTTAGGAATTCTTTTGAGTGTAAATAAATTGTAAATAAAAGTGTAAATAAGTGTAAATAAAATATTAATAAATTTGGTACTTTCAGTTTATCAGCTCTCGAATGCAGCATTAACCAGCAGAGCTGAGACTCACTGCAGGACGGGCAGCTCAGACGTGATCATAGCAGCGCAGTGACGGTCAATACTGATTACACTGATCACACTGACGAGACTCTCAGAGCACTGCGGACAACATCCTCCTCAGTGTGGACACAAACCTGAAACACAGAGACAGAGAAACCAGGGTCAGTTCAGTTCAGTTCGCTTCAATTCAGTTCAATTCAGTTCAATTAATTTCAGTTTAGGTCGGTTCAGTTAAATTCAGCTCAGTTCTTTTCAATTCAGCACTGTTCAACTCAGTTCAATTCAGTTTAGTTCAATTCGGTTCAGTTTAGTTCAATTCAGTTCAGCTCAATTCAGTTCAGTTTAGTTCAGTTCAGTTCAGTTCAGTTCAACTCAGATCAGTTTAGTTCAACTCAGTTCAGTTCAGTTCAACTCAGTTCAGTTTAGTTCAACTCAGTTCAGTTCAGTTCAGTTCAGAAATGTTTAACTGTATAATGTTGATAATCTGGACTGACCGCTGGGGGCTGGTAAGTCTGCAGTGTTTATAGTTGCACTGAAGCACCAGCAGGGGGCAGCATAATAAAGTATTTGTTAATAACCAACATAAATGAACAGACTCTGTTATTTTACACCACAGAGAGAGAGAGAGAGAGAGAGAGAGAGAGAGAGGGAGACTCAGAGCAGAGGAATAAAGGAGAGTCTGAATAATTCATTACTGGTCCCCAAAAATGGACCCTCAGCCTTTACTGCTGAAGCACTACAGTGTTCAGAACTGCTGCTACTGAACCTGCCCTGTTCTGCATGCTTCCTCTCCAGATAAAAGACTGTGTCTCATCTGCCCTCCACTAGATGGCGCTACACTGCAGGTGGAGAATAATTAGTGCAGTTCCTGCAATGATTCAGCTTACCTGATTAGTTTATCAGGTAGAAGTAACAGTAAAAAGGAGGGCGATATGAAGTAATGGAAGCTTATACCCCAACAATTAGCATGTTGCTAAGTGCATGTCTAAAGTAGTGGCCATAATGTCTCCTGCACCTCTTATACTCATGTCTAAATGTCTTCAAGAGGCTACAGGACGCTGCTACTGTAACATACTTTAGTCCATGCTTATAGATAACAGTGGATCTCAGTGTCAGAAACCACTTTATCCAGTCTCTGAAAGCTTACTTAGCAACTTGACAACGGCTCCACCTTAAAAGGTGCAGGTATACACCTGCTGCACTGTTTAAGGTGGAATGGAAAACTGGAGTAAGATGCTGGCAAACAGGCAGCCAACTAAACCAGTTTGAGGCAGGCATGTGATGATGTGGGCGTGCACTTGAAGCTAAACCTGAATAAACGCAACGTCAGACAATAAACGTGTCTCGGCTGATCGACTACACTGGGGTTAAAAGGAGGGGGAGCTCTCGCTTTAACTGGCCTTTACACCCACAGTCTGAGTACGAGGGTCCCTGCTGATTTACGAGGCCCACAGTAGGAGCTAAATAAAGACGCAGGTTCTATTTCAGGCCGAGTGCGTGCTGTATTGATTATGTGCTGATGTCACCGGCTCTGGACTGACTCAGACTCCAGCACGTCACCCTGTACGTCAGAGAGGGCCAACACCAGTGAAAGGAAGCTGGTCATGTGACTGAAACGTCCATGGATTCCACATTTAGCACTGAGGGATCAGAATGAGTCCAAATCTGTTATTATAAAACAGAACTGGTTATAAACTCTAACTGGCTCAGTCATGTTCAACACTGGTGTACAATCATTGATATACACCGATCAGGCATAACATTATGACCACCCAGGTCAGGACCCCCATGGACCCTCACAGAGCAGGTACTATTTGGGATGGTGGATCATTCTCAGCACTGCAGTAACACTGACGTGGTGGTGGTGTGTTAGTGTGTGTTGCGCTGGTGTGAGTGGATCAGACACAGCAGTGCTGCTGTGAGTTTTTAAACACTGTGTCCACTCACTGTCCACTCTATTAGATGCTCCTAACTTCTCAGTCCACCTTGTAGCTGTAAAGTCAGAGACGACAGCTCATCTGCTGCTGCACAGTTTGTGTTGGTCATCCTCTAGTCCTTCATCAGTGGTCACAGGACGCTGCCCACAGGACGCTGCCCACAGGACGCTGCCCACAGGACGCTGTTGGCTGGATATTTTTGGTTGGTGGACTATTCTCAGTCCAGCAGCGACACTGAGGTGTCTAAAAACTCCAGCAGCACTGCTGTGTCTGATCCACTCAGACCAGCGCAACACACACTAACACACCACCACCACGTCAGTGTTACTGCAGTGCTGAGAATGATCCACCACCCAAATAGTACCTGCTCTGTGGGGGTCCATGGGGGTCCTGACCACTGAAGAACAGGGTAAAAGGGGGCTAACAAAGTATCAGAGAAACAGATGGACTACAGTCTGTAACTGTAGAACTACAAAGTGCACCTATATAGTAAGTGGAGCTGATAAAATGGACAATGAGTGTAGAAACAAGGAGGCGGTCAGAATGATATGGCTGATCAGTGTATATGTCTGTGCACAAGTGAGAGACCCTTCATTCACTTAATTACCAGAAAAAAACAGGAAGACTTGGTCGACCCCAAAACTGCCCCCATCAGATAAACAGCACTTAAAGCTTTCATCTCTGAGAGAGAGGAGAAAATCAAGCTGATCAGATCTGAAAACATCCACAGGTGTTTCTGTCCATCCTTCCACTGTGAGCAGCACTGAGTTAAGTTAATGTACACACAGAGTCGGTCATCAATATCTGTATCAGCTGACTGAGCAGATAAATACAGAAATAAAAGACTGGCAGATATTCTTAAACCATGACAGTAATAAATAGAAAAATTAAGGTTTCTATTAAACCTCCTTATTTCTATTATGATTAGGTTGGATGGTCAGTGCTCTGTTTATGGAATCATTGTTGACCGTTTTGCTGCTTGGCGACCTAAAGATGAGCTGAGGACAGTAACGGAGAGGAGGGGAGTGATGGGAGCAGAATTCCTTAGAGCATCTCAGACTCATCCTCCAGATAAGTCAGGACTGCAGTAAAGGTAAAAGTTGAGCACAAACACAAAAGCAGCTGCTTAAAGAACTGCAGCAGAACTCATTAGAACTTACAGAACCAGCGTAGGAGCTTCAAGGCTTCAACTGGCTTCTCACTGTAATTTTCCATTCCTCCTTAAATGATGCTGCTGCACAATTTAAGGTGGAATGGAACGTTCCAATGAGAAGCCAATGGAACAGCCAATTGAATTAAATAGTGCACCATTTAAGGTGGAGCGGAACATTCCAATGAAACAGCCATTGGAATTAAATGGTGCACCATTTAAGGTGGAGCGGAATGTTCCAATGAAACAGCCATTGGAATTAAATGGTGCACCATTTAAGGTGGAGCGGAACATTCCAGTGAGAACCCAATGAAACAGCCAGTGGAACCAAATGGTGTGCCATTTAAGGTGGAACGGAACATTCCAGTGAGAAGCCAACGAAACAGCCAATGGAATTAAACGGTGCACCATTTAAGGTGGAACGGAACATTCCAATGAGAAGCCAACAAAACAGACAATGGAATGGCAAATTAAGGTGGAACAGAAAATTCCAATAAGAAACCATATAGGAAGTGCAGCTTGCGTGAGTCTGTTCTTCTCTTTTTGGATCCTTTTGGTCCAAAATAAAAGCCGAAGCTCCAAAGTGAGAAGTGTTTATCACCTCTGAGGGGAGGCGAGTAGGTGGGCAGTATTAGCAGGGCTATTTTGGAGAGGATTTGTTGGAGGTTGGGGGTGTAATGTCTCTGTCCTGGTGGAAATTGTTGCCTAATCAGTTTGAAGGCAGCTTCCTGCAGAGCTGGACAAGCTTATTAACTGTTAGCCTGTCCTGCTGCAGCGATGACTCCCTGACAGAGCGCTCTGAGAGTCCGAGACGGAGGGAGAAAAACACACTCATCACTGCCTCACTGTTCACACAGTGATCCACGGCTGGACCACCGCCAAGACCAGGAAAAGGAGATTTCATCCATCCAGTGGAGATCAAATACAGAAACCAAAACAGGGTCCGAGCAGAAACTACATGCCGGGGTCAGCTGCACCAGCAGGCCTGAAACCTGTGGCGAAGTGGAGATGCTTGCAGCTGTTGCGGCCGAGTTGCATAATGTAACGTGTTCTGCAACTCATTTGAAACTCAGCCGCAACAGCTGCAAGCATCTCCACTTCATCACAGGTTTCATGAAACAGCCAATCAAAACACCAGTAACGCATCATGTGATCATGTTGAGCGACATACTTACAAACTATTGATTTTACTGGATTATTGGATGAGCAAATACAAGTCAGCTCATTGGCTGTTTGATGATGCATCACATGATCACATTAAACAACAACCTTTAACATGACTTCACTGGATTGGTGAAAAAACTTCACTGGATCAGTGGACAAGAAAACAAAACTGAAGGTGGTTTACTGGATGGTTTAAAAGGAGGACTCAACCACCCAGTAAGGCATCTTTTATTTAATTTATGTGAAGTTAATCGATTGAATGTAGACTACTTGGACAAAAGTATTGGGAAGAGCATTTGTGAGGTCAGACACTGATGTTGGACGAGAGGGTCTGGCTCGCAATCTCCGTTCTAGTTCATCCCAAAGGTGTGTGATGGGGTTGAGGTCAGGGCTCTGTGAGGACCAGTCAAGTTCTTCCACCCCAAACTCACCCAGTCAGGCCTTTATGGAGCTGCTTTGGTCACTGGGGCTCAGTCATGCTGGAACAGGAAAGGTTCTTCCCCAAACTGTTCCACAAAGTTGGAAGTGTACAACTGTCCAAAATGTCTTGTTCTGCTGAAGCATTAAGATTTCCCTTCACTGGAACTAAGGGTTCTAGACCAACCCCTGAAAAACAGCCCCATATCATCATCCCTCCTCCACCAAACTCTACAGCTGCACAGTGCAGTCAGGCAGGTAACGTTCTCCTGGCATTCGCCAAACCCAGACTCGTCCATCAGACTGACAGATAGAGAAGCTGATTCACTACACAGAATACGTTTCACTGCTCCAGAGTCCAGTGGCGGCGCTTTACTCCACTCCAGCTGACGCTTGGCATTGTGCTTAGTGATCTTAGGCTTGTGTGCAGCTGCTCAGCCATGGAAACCCATTTTGTGAAGCTCCT